CTCATCGTTCACATGTTCCATTGATGCTATTCTCACTATCCATCTGCAGAACTATATTTCTGTTGTCTCAATTGTCAAAAATTCCCTGCCACACGGGAGGACTTATATTAGAACGCCCTTATTTTTTATCCTAAGCAAATTCTCTTGTTTCTTTACACTTTGCTTAGATTTGAGAAAAGGCAACTTTCGTTGCACAAATATATATTACATTTTCAAACAAGTAATATAAGTGCAGAATGTGGTATACCTATGTTTTGTAGAGAACGCAAAAGAATTTTATAAAGTGCGACACGGTGATCTTTTTTACAATAATTTTTACTCTGTAGAAGGCCAAAGAGCCACTCGAGATAGACGGTTACAGAGTAAGTGGCACAGTTTATGCGGATATGTTAGGAAGATAACGGTTAATTCTAGATTTGAACAGGTTGACTGGGAAGGAATCATCTTGGGAGTCGGTTCCACAAAGCAGCGGTTTGTGAGAAGAATCAGTTCTACTGGGACTTACATCTCATTAATGGAATACGAAAGGAATGTAAATGGTTCGCTATAATGTGCCTAGCATGGCGGGTCTTAGCTGTGAGGTTTGGAACTGATGGCATGGCGGGTCTTAGCTGTGAGGTTTAGAACTGATGGAAATAATGAATGTAGTTTGTCTGAACATGTTCCATGGAAATAGCGATAGGTGTAGCGAGAGCTTGCAGAGTTTTCTCCGTGGGAAAATAATTCGGCACCCACAAGTACACGGAAACGCTTTTGAACTCTACCGAGACTGGACTGTGAAGACTAGTCAGTTCCTGCCCATATATAACAGCAATACTTCATTTTCAGCCTGATCTGGCTCTTGTAAAGGTAGGAGTCAGGTACTTACTGCAGCGGTACAAGGAACTGATCAATTGTTACCAGCCTCTTTAGCGTTGGATCAAATGTACGAGTTCCACTTGAAATTTGGGTTGAGCTTAAGTTTCAGTAGGCGCTCAAGGCAACGGGGCCACCTTGAGAGAATAGCCGTTCATCGCGAAAATTCAAGAGCTATTTGAACTATTTGATCTATTAGAATAATCCGGAACATTTACTGGGAACAGACCGCTTACATACGGATAAATTGAGCAGGCACACAGAAACAGATAGTGACGTAAAACAAGAATGAGTCGTTACATTGGGTTTATCCAAACTATGCAATGAGCTGATCCTCATAGAACGGGTCGACATATCAGGATTTATTATTGGCTGACACAACCATAGCAATAGAAGATATACAGATAATACCGTGTTGTTGACAGGCACAGAAAGGAAATTGCATCATCTCTTAGACAACATTGTCTTTTTCTCTCGTTTTCCTTTACTATCAAGTGTAAAAAATAGAATGTATATTGTTAGCAAGAAAGACAACTCAGGATAAGAGCTGCGAATTTGGAAATTTCAAAATGAAGCAAGTACAGAAAATTAGCTTAGAAGTGTTTTAAAATAAATCATAAAATGTGACACCAAAGGCGCTTTAAACAAAA